CAGAGCTATCAATGGTGCATTTTGGTGGCTTAGGGTTATTCGTCTGTCCTGCCAATTTATGGGGACTCGGGGAGATAGCACCTAGTGTTTGAAGGGGTATCAGCTATTTCCCGGGCTCTCTCAAGGTTGCTGATGAATCCCCAGTTGTGAACAGCATTTGTTAACCCAATGGATTCCTCTCTGATACCTCAGGCGTAAATGCGGGAGGCTGTGCAGACCATGGGAGATAGAGGAGGGTACAAGGACAAGCTTTTTTAAAAAAAATCTGACATCCTTGTGGCAGCAATCACATGTAAAATGTTCGATTTTTCCACATGTATAATCTAACAGGCACCATTTTTTGCTAGGACATATGTCCACATACAATCTAACCGTCTCTTGTAAATTTAAGCACTTAGGATAATCCCTAAGTGTCTCCTTACAAGTCCTGTCAGCATTTTCAAAGGCCAAGTGATAGGATAGTACCTTTCCTGCCTCAGGGGCAGCTATCCAGTGGCACCGTAGCTTAAAAGAAGTAGGCCACGAAGGCTGGCTACAATTCTGACTCTGCCCAAGGTTCACCACAAGGTTTTCTCCCCTTTAGAGGGCAATTCTCTCTGTGCCATTAAGGCAACCATGTTAAGTTGTTGTAAGTTTCAAAGGATGGTTGTTGGTTCCTTCCTAAGTCCTGGACCCAGGAACATACATGCAGTGATAGCAACTCTATGGGCCAGATTACATTGTGCTTGGTCCTCACATAATATGTGAGGTAATAATATGGTTCTGTAAACCCAGCCTTGAACAGCAGCTAATTCCCTGGGTTGAGGCAAGATTTCACCATGCTTAGCCAATCAGAGGGAGGCCGGGCATTGCCACTGAGGATACGCTGAATATGCCCATGGGTATACAGGGCCACAGGCCTATAGGCTGCACAGGCTTGCTCCATCTCCAAGGATTTAAAAGGTATTCTCTTGATAGCACACCATTTGGTTTGAATTATGCAGATCAGATCCACTCAAACATGAGGAAACAATTAAAACCATTAGTGTCTTCCTCAAATCTTTCAGCCTAACAAGATTTGCTATAAAGGAGTGACATTACATCCCCTTAAAATTCGCTGCAGCTCAGACCCAAAGTGCAATTTCACTCTGGGTTGGGTGTCCTCACCCTCATAATCACTTTCCTCAGTATTAGGGTCCAGGGCATCAGGCAGGTCAGGGCAAGCCCACCCTGTGAATTCAATTTGCTTCTCTGCCTCACAGATCCAATTCTGCAGAGCCTGCCCTCCTTTGAGGGAACAACCATGGATCTATGGAATCACATATAAGACTCGGAAAAACTGTAAGTGAAAATGGGAATGCACTTGGGCTGTTTAGCCCCGTGTCTCTGAGCTTTTTGCCTATCTTTTCCCAACTAGTCAGACTCCCTGTCCCTTCTTTTGGAAGCCAAGGGCATGTCTCCTGAACAAGGCCAAGAACTGTTGGAGCTGTGACATTTTCACTCTGCTTCACAGCTCCCCCAAGCCTCCTTCAAAGTATCAGCACATGACTGCCCACCTCTAGATTCTGCCTGCCACGGCTACACCTAACACTTTCAACTGCACCCCACCTTTACCTTCATGTTTAGCTTTACCTTTGTTTGCGAACTTCTCCTTCATTTTTAGCTTTAGCTTTACCTTTGTTTGCGAACTTCTCTGGGGGGCGTTCCCTCATCCGAGCGATGCAAGTTCCCCACAGTCCAGGGTCTCTGTTCAGGCGCCACTTGCCACATCCAACAGGGCTAGGTACTGGGAACCTGACTGGGGTGACGCGGGAATGAAGAAACTACAGACACTGAAGAAATGACAGACACACATACAGAAAAGCTGAGATCGGGTGGGCTTCGCTCTCTCAATGGAGAGCACTTGCTAAGCAACCCGGAAACTCAGCGCTGTGTTCTATGTACAGCCAGAGGAGGAGGGGCTAGCTAGTCTTGGTGGGAGGTCTCTGTAAGGGAGCAGTCTGGCTGTAACCATCCAGGAGGCAGAGCTACAGCTGATGGTCTCTGCACACACTGTCAACATTCATGCTGACCAGGGGAAGGCTTTGCCATTTCCCTGAGCCTGACCTGGGGAAGCTTTGCCAGTTCCCAGGAGTCTTGGTATGGACATGCTCATGTTAAATATGACACATTCACTCAGGACTTCATCCACTTCCCACAACTGACTTGCCCGTTTTTTCCCAGGATCTGGAGGATGGAGTAGTTACTACCTCAACACTTGTTGAAAGGACTGAGTAAGTCCTGTGTATCACATGCTTAGACATATGGCACTTGACTTGAACATATACATAGATACTGTATATATTAATTACCACTGTACTTTGAAAACATTTTGTGTGTATAATCTGAAATCAGTATCAGTTATTCTCTCTCTCATACAATCCAGATTAGCTTCAAACCTACAGTGCAGCTGAGGCTGGCCTGGTTTCTGCAATTCCTGGTTTCTTCCCCCTGTCTATGGAGTTCATACTCTTGTTTTCCTCTGGAGCACTACGAGTCAATGAATGTACCTTCACACCTGATTCTGTATACTAATTTTGTTTGAAAACAAATGGGAACATGTTCCAGAACCATCAGATGTTTTCCCAGGTCCACTGGGTACAAGCCTACATGAAGGCTGGGAAGATGACTCCGTGTTTGATAAAGCACTTTTTGTGCCAGCGTGAGTTCATATCAGAACCCATATACCCGCCAGGCGGGTCAGCACCTGTAATCCCAGTTCTCAAGGAGGGAGGCAGACAGGATTCCTGGGGTGTGGTAGCTAGCTAGACTATACAGAATTGTCTAGCTCCATGTTCAGCTAGAAACCCTGGCTCAAATTAAAGTGGAGAGCTATTGAGAGACACCCAATGTTAACTTCTGCCAGGCTTACACATGCACACCCTCCACCCTCATACAGGGAAACATGCATACACACATGCACACCACACACACATACAAAAATAAAATCTACAAGTGCAACCATGCCTAGCTTCCACAAAAAAGGTCTGAAAGCCCCTGTACACTCAAGTCCCCTATATAAAATAGTATGGTACATGTGCATAATCTATGCACATTCTCCGATACACTTTAAATCCTCTCTAGTTATTTATAATACCCAAAGTAAATGCTATATAAATACCTGCTCTTCTGTATTGTTTAGGGAACAAGAACAAAAACAATGGCTGCATATGTTCGGTGCAGATGCTTCCTGGGTATTTTCAATCCGTGGTTTATTAAGTCTTCAGACACAGAACTTGGGATCTGGATGGCAGTAGTGGTCACATGATCCCCAGCACACTCTTTAAAGATGGAATGCTGCACAGCCTCCAAGAGCTCCATTTATATAGACTATAACTTGCACAACCACAGTATTCTTGACTCACATAAACAATTAGGTTATAGCTTGATCTACTCAAAGGCAAAAAAGCAATCTGCTACTTAGATAACAAATGAGTAATAATAAGGGCTACAAAGACACACATCTCCCGTATTGTATTTTCTGCTACTTATGCAAGTAGCTGATCTTAGGGAAATCAAGAGTTTGTCAATAGCCAGCAACAATAAAAATCAGTTTATAGTGTAAGGAAAAATATATGACAAGTTTGAATTAGAAATCTTTTGCTCGGGCTGGAGAGATGGCTCAGGGGTTAAGAGCACTGACTACTCATCCAGAGATCCTGAGTTCAATTCCCAGCACCCACATGGTGGCTCACAACCATCTGTAATGAGATCTGGTACCCTCTTCTGTATACATAATAAATAAATAATTCTTTTAAAAAAAAAAAAGAAATCTTTTGCTTTGCTACTCATTAACCTGTAATCTTGGGCAAGTTACTTCAACTCTATGAATCTCACTTCTTTAATCTGCAAAACAGAGACTTGTGCCATATGATTAATATGGGGTTATAGAAACAAAAATACAAAGTATCTTGAATATTGTTAAGTGTGCAATAAATGTTAGGAGCTTCTTCTCTTTCTAAAATGTACTAGGAAGAAATTCTGTGATTGTTTAGGGGCAAAGTACACTGTAAAATGCTACCTGAAGACACCAACAATGGAAAAGATACAAGAAACCACCATTCGGAGCTCAAGTTCATCCTAAGCCAAGTCTGCCTACCACTGTGCCCTCTGGAAGCGAACATTGAGAACTAGATTCTGTGCCTAGACTCACCCGCTTTGGGAACCGGTGAGTACTTTGGGCACCGATTCCTTTCAATCAAGAAAGAACTTTTACAGCATACAATCTGATCAGCTGACACAAAGGTGTCCACAGCCACAGAAACACTCACCAACAGAGAGTGAGAGCAGCCTAAGGAGTCACAGGCCTTTTCTTTTCTGAGGTTTTTCACAGTCAAGACTAGAGATTGTCACACATAGTAAGTACAGTCCTTAAAATAGTCCAAGTGAACTGGAAATACAAACTCTGATCAAATGAAACACAGATTAGGCAGAAACATCAACACTTTGGAATTTTTGCCATATAGGAAATAACCGAGAAAACTTTGGGAAGAAAGGACAGTGTGGAGAAACAAGACCCAAACAGTCTGTGTCAGATCCATCACTCACTTATCTGAGAATATTCAGCTAACTGCATGGTTTGCCAATGATGCAGGAAGAGGTTACAACCCCACCTCAACACCTCCCATCCCCATCCCCCTCCCCCCAAACTGTGGATGATTAACAATAATGACAAGCACAGAAATCTTCAAACAAGACACAAAGTAAGATGATGATGGTTGATTTACCCTAAAAAGAAAAAAGTCTACAATGGTTTAGGAAAGGAAATTCGGCATCCCAGAATAGAAGGATTAGCAAATCTAAATTATATAAAATATCTAATCAAATAAATTAACACGGAAGACTAAACTGTCACATTTGAGTTCAGATTATAAATTTCTTTTTTCATGTTTTCAGTTAGTTATGGTTATACAGTTTGGCTTTTTCAAGTCAGCTACTGAGATGAGTGTACATATGTATAAAACAACCCGCTTCTCACATACCTTTGGTCTGGATTGGCTCCGGGGGTGGTGGAGCTGAGGGCATGGGCCCCACTGGGTGACTTGGAGCAGGAGGCATTCTTGCTGATGAGGGTCCTGGCAAGACTGTGGACACTATGGAGCTGGACTTGGGGGGCTGGACATTTTCTGTAACAGGGCAAGAAAGAGAGTCTGCAACTGAAGACAAGAAACTGTTTCACCCACAGCACCAACCTGAAACATGTTAAAGTAAGTTTGCTAACAAAATGCAATGGATTTGAAGTTCCATAGAGGCTCCAGTACCACCACACTGATTTACATCTATAAATAAAGTGGTTCCAAACAAATCATTTCCCCCAAAGTGGGAAAACTGTTTTCTGATGTTTTAATAATTTGTAATGATAATTTTTACTAAAACATCCAGATGTCATAACCTTTCAGACAAAATGAAACGTTTTTCTTTACAAACCACTGAACAGTACCACTGTACTACACACTGGTGACCAAGGTAGAATGACTAGAGGTAACAGGTTCTCTGAAGTGCGTAAATGAGCTCACATCTCATTTTCTTTACTTATGTATTTACAAAAACAACCAAGTTACTGTCTCACAGTGGTGGAGCACAGAGGTGTTCTCCCTGGAGCTGTAGACGATCATCTCCCCTTCGGTTTCATATGGGCTCTGTGCATGGCTGGGTTCTAATCCTCTTAGAAGAATACCACTCATATTCGGTGTGGGCCCACCCTAACGACTTCACTTGAATACAATCGCCTCTTTCAAGACTCTATCTCCAAGTATAGTTATAGTCTGCAACAAGATTCTGCTTTGGGACTTCATTAGGACCTTGCATCTGAACATAAACTTATGAGTTTGGAGGGGACACAATTTATTCCCTAACAGATTTGTTGGATGTTAACTAACAGTGTAAAAATGGGGAGTGGAGGCACTAAAAGTCTCCAGGTCACCAGTTCTCTATATTCCAAGCATATGTGACAATGCATGGCCCTCCGATCCTTTGGTTAAACACTCACTTTATCCTGTATCTCAAGAAATGCAGCTAAAAATACACTAAAAAGACTGCTGACAGTTTTTCTGTATATGGCAAACAGATCAAGTAATCTACACTGATCATATCTAGTCTTAGCTGAATAGTCAGTATTTATGTTGTGCAATGGTGTTTTCTGTTTATTTTGAAGAGCACATTAGTGAATATCTTCTACCTAGATTAGGCATTTAGGAAAAGGTGTGTGAGATTTCTGGCAAAGATGGTAGCTGGCAGCACCTTGGGTGACCAAACGATGTGTTAGAATAAGAAAAAAAGAGACTCTGGTCCAGAGAGAGAGATCTTTGAAAATTTCCAAAAGGATGGATGGGGCAGCTGTAAAGTATAGAAAAGAAAACCCAAGCAGATGAAAGTTCCAGCCAGGTGAGTCAAGGGGAGGAGAAACAGCTCATCCAAACGGTGAGCTGCACGGCCTTACCCTCAGGACAAGCCCAAGTGTTACAAACCTCAACACCAGTTCCAGGCCTTCACTGGGCAGTGGCTTTTCCCAGGGGATGGTTGGCAGTGGTAAGGAGTTGCCCAGCTCAGAGTGCTATCCTTAGGGGCCAGCATGAAAGGGAACCTCTCATATTGCACTGTTAATAGCCATTTCCTGTCTACTGTTTCTAACCAGATGCCCCATTTCAAATGTAACTAAGCAAGAGTGTCACCATAATACTAGCTGGACCTCTAGAATGCAGTATCTATTGTTCATAGGAGTGAAAAACACTGACAGAACTTCCAGAAAACTATGGCCAGAGTAGTGGTAAGCAGTGACTACATAGTACATGAGTAAATACACAACATGCACAAATATGGGTGTATATCTAAGAATATGTGTAAATTAGGTCGAGGACTGGAAGAAATGTAGGGATATGGTATCAAAACAAAATGTGCTCTACTGCACATGCCAATAAACATAGAAGTTAAATTGGGCACAAGAGGAAAAGGAGATGGAAGACAGTCAGAGAATGGCCGCTTCACTACTTTTAGTAAGCAGACTGCTACTATGGGAGACTGAAGACCTTGTCATCCCGAGGGCAAGGTTCTCAATAAAAACACAACTTCAGTCAGGAGGATGTGGGCAGCGAAGAACAATACATTGTTACCAGTGAGAAAGAGATCTTTGGTCAAGAGAGAATCTCAACCACACGTGATCATCTGGCAGAGTGCTAAGCATCTCAAGACAGTAGGATATGGTGATCTCTTGGGCCTTCCTATGAGCTGAGACACCACCTTGGAACTTGCTCAAACACAGGCTCTTAAGCCTGTCACACTAGGTCAGTGTGACATTTGAATTTTATTAAGATCCAGGTAATTCATGCACAAAATTTGAGAAGGCCATCTCTAAAGCACACAGACCTGAAACAGCCGTTTGAGTGTGGCTATGTTCTGTTCCATTAATGTCAAATTTTCTTAGAAACACTGAACCTCTACCCTCCCACAACAGAGTTTCTGGTTACTCCATCTTTCTTGAGACCCCAGTACTGTCACTTGCTCAGTTTACTGCTCTAGCATGTGTTCTGGGTTTCCTCTGATGGCATTTACATCCTCTGGGACTGCTACAGTTTCTCTCAGCTGTGATCTTTCCCACATTAATTTGTGTATGTATTTGCACAGCGTAGAAAAATACACTTTCCCCCCTCCTACTTACTTTCCAGTTGGTCTCATTCTATACTGTGTTTCAAAGATAAAAACCTTCTCATTCGAAGTGACTTGAGCTTTTTCATGTTTACTCTTTATGGCTAGTACCTTGTGTGCTTTCTTTGTAAAATTTGATCAGTCCAAAGTTCTGGAGACATCTATTTTCTCTAAAGAATTTTTAAGTTTTGCCTTTTTTATTTAAATATTTATTTCCCCCAATGTACTTCTTACATTAGAAACTCATCCTTCAGATTGCAGCTAAAATATCATTTCATGAGAGAAAACTCCCTTAAAGTCCATGAGTAACAGGCCAATGTGCCCACCACGAGCTCTCCAAGGACCACCCCCCTCTGCTTCTCGCCCTGACTAGCAGGTGTGCATCTGCTGTGGTCTAATGGACATCTGCTGCCACACGTGGACGGCAAGTCTGAAATACAAGAATCTGTCTTTTACCCACTGTTATCTCCCAACATCAGAACAAGCCCTGGCACATGGCTGGCTTCCAAGTATCTAGGGGATAGTGACTAGATCCACCAACACTAAGGATCAGAAAGGTACGCCAACTAAGAGTCTGCCTTTTCTTTTTTTTTTTTTTTTTTTTTTTTTTTTTTTTTTTTTTTTTTTTTGGTTTTTCGAGACAGGGTTTCTCTGTGTAGCTTTGCGCCTTTCCTGGAACTCACTTGGTAGCCCAGGCTGGCCTCGAACTCACAGAGATCCGCCTGGCTCTGCCTCCCGAGAGCTGGGATTAAAGGCGTGCGCCACCACCGCCCGGCGAGTCTGCCTTTTCAAAAAGGGAATTTGACTGAAGCAAAAACCATATAAACTGCCACTATATAAAACAAAATTTTCAACTTGTATTTAGTTATAGCCTTAAAAGACTACTACAGCTGGGGCGGGGCACAGCCGATTAATCCTAGCATTCAGGAGGCAGAGGCAGGCACATCTCTGAGAGAACTCAAGGCAAGCAAGGGCTATACAGTGAAAATGTGTCCTTTTTTTTTTTTTTTTTTTTTCTTTAAGGAATACTATAAGAGTAAATCTAGTATAGGTAGGCATGGCTCAGCAGTTAAGAGCACTGACTGCTCTTGCAGAGGATCTGGGTTCAATGTCCAGCCCCCACATGGTGGCTCCCAGCTGTCTGCAACTCAAGTTCCAGGGAATTCAACACTTTCTTCTGACCTCCACAGGCAACAGGCATGCATATGGTGCACATACACACATGCAGGCAAACACTCATATGAATAAATGAATGAATGAATGAATGAATAATCTCTGCTGGATGTAGTGGCACGTGTCTTTAATCCCAGCACTTGGTAGAGGCAGGTGGATCTCTGTGTGAGGCCAACCTAGTCTACATAGCAAGTTCCAGGCCAGCAATACTACACAGTGACTCTCTTTCTCTCTTCCCCCTCCCCAAAAAAGGTAACCCCTAGGTTTTAGCACGTAAAAGTCTCCAGGATCTGGTCAGAGATTCCACTCTCAGCTCATAGCGTGACCTTCGTTCAAGCTGCTCAGGCTGGAGTTTTGTCATGCTGTCTTGTGGATCTTCTTTTCCCTCCTCAAACTGTAGCAGCACATCTCTGAGGCAAGCGGCATCCTCTGTCACCCCACTTGTCTGCAGCAGCAGCAGTCATCTTCTGGGTCCTGTATCCTCCAGGGACCCATCACACTGTTTCCCAAGTGTTCCTGAACACTAAGAGGACAGCACCATCACCTTGAAAAAAAACGCTGATGGCTAAAGACTGGGAGAAAAATACCTGTTTTTCCTTTATTAATTCCTCTGAAAAAGAAAAAAATAGAAATAAAATGGGGGCTGGAGAGATGGTTGAGTGGTTAAGGGCACTGGCTGCCCTTCCAGAGGACCCAGGCTCCCAGCACCCACACGGTGGCAAACGACCTCCTGCAACTCCAGTCCCAAGAGATCCAATGTCCTCTTCTGGGCTCTTCACGCACTGCATACATTTGGGGCACAAATGTGCATGCAGGCAAAACACCCATACACATAAAAATGTTTAAAGAAAAATTAAAATACAAATCCTCTCGCCTACCCCACGTCAGAGCTGGCAGAAACTGGGAAAACTGGACAAGGTGGATCACTCTCACTCTCTAGGCTTGGAGGAGGGGCTCATAGTGAAGAGTGTGAATTCAAGAGTGTGAGTAGCCTTAGAATCAGAAAGAGAAGGGCAGCAGCAAATTATGTTGCTCCCCTCTCACAATCTGCAGTCTCAAAAGAAGCCAACGAGGAAAGCCGTTTCTTTTATATTACTTGCTTTTTTTCTGAACATTTTTTCCAATGTAGCCGGATAATTTCTTTCTAACTCACATTTCTTTGTCCTATATAACCATCTACACAATATTTATTTGGTTTCCCTCAGATACATCATCTAGATATCAACAGAGAGAACACTATCAGCCACTATTACCTCAGGGTCATAGGTGCAGGAATCTTCTGCACAAAGGCACATAATCATTTTTATACAAGCTTTTCAGATGTTTCTGGTATAACATTGTACATAGGAAAATGCTGTTAGAGACACTACTGCTTTATCATATGCTATCCATATCACAATTCAAGAACTATCCAGAGTAACTTACTTTAATCGAAATAGTGTTTGGTAAGTACTTCACCTGGCAAAGACGTTATCTTTGCTAATGTTTCATGTGCACGTGTGTGAGCACGTGTTCATGTGGTAAGTGTGCAGGAGCGTGTATGACAGAGGACAGCTTCAGGTGTTTCTCAAGTGCCGTCTGCTACCTGAAGAACCTGCCGAGCAGACCCCAGTGCCACCATCACACCACCAAGCAATGAATTACAAACGCATCATCATGCCCGGCCTTTAGTGAGTTTGTTTTCTTTTTTAACCTGGGTGCTGGGAATCACACTTGGTACCACCCACTTGATGGACTGAGCTACTCCCCAGCCTGGTGCCTTGATCATTTTAGATCATGTGTTCTGTAAAACAAAGACATGTTAAACTTAAAGGGGGGGGGGGGGATCTGTTCTCATCTCTTGACCATAATTTGTACTAGATTACTTGACAAGACTAGAGACTCATCTACAGAGCCAGTTTACGGTTTTCAAATGGAATGAACTAATCCAAAATCCACAGTGCTGCGAACACATCTGGGGTGGACTAGTGAATGAAATGTCCTCCAGTGCACCAGCATGCATTTTTACAAAGGCCACAGAGACGGCTCTCTTCTCCAGGTTTTCAATATGACCTCACCAACTGCCTAAAAAATTCAACAACCATCTATTCACAATATTTGCTTATTTCAAATGTAAAGTTCAGTACTAATATAAAATTCTAATTAAAATTTGAAATACTCTTGTGCAGGTAAGGGTACCTACCTCTCGCCATACTGTCCTTGACAAATGATTGTGTGGCTATTTATAATCTAAAGACAACACACTCAGAAAATTACCACAGCTTCATCAGCTACCGTTCTGTACATACATGTTTTTGTTTTTTCTTTCTTTCCTTTTCTTTTCTTTCCTTTCTCTTTCTTTCTTTTCTTTTCTTTCTTTTTTTTCTTTTCAGAACAAGGTTTTTCTGTGTAGCCTTGGCTATCATGAAATTCCCTCTGTAGACTAGGCTGGCCTCGAACTCAGAGAGCCACCTGCCTCTACCTCCCCCTGGGATTAAAGACAATGCCACCACTGCCCAGCAATGGGCATGTATTTTCATTCCCTTCAAGAGCACATCATTAAATTCAAGTTCACAATTTCAACTTAAGAAAGAATTATGGTGATAATTTATTTGTGCTCTAACAAATAAAACTTATCTGGGGATCAGAGGACAGAGCCAGCCACTAGATAAGACATAGAGGCCAGACAGTGGTGGCACACACCCTTAATCCTATCACCCAGGAGGCAGAGATCTGTCTGGATCTCTGTGAGTTCAAGGCCACACTGGAAACAGAGACAGGCAGTGGTGGCACACACCTTTAATCCCAGCACTTGAGATCTCATGTCTTTGCTTGGGAAGGACACCCACCTTTAATCCCAGGAAGTAATATGGCAGAACACAGAAAGGTATATAAGGCATGAGGAAACAGGAACTAAAGCAGTTCAACTGAGACCCTCAGGGATGAGGACTCAGAGGCTTTCAGTCAGGATTCATGGAAACAGGATCATCTGAGGAGTTGGTGAGGTGAGGTTGGTTGGCTTGTGCTGTTTCTCTGATCTTTCAGCTTCCACACCGATATTTTGTTTTTTGTTTTATAAGACCTTTTAAGATTCATGTTACATCTGGCACCCAAAGTGGGGCTAGAATCCACGACCCTGAGATTAAGAGCTCAGTCTCTACCGACTGAGGTCAGAACACTATATATATATATATCTTGGGTGAGGCATGGTGGTTCACACCTTTTATCAGAGCACTCTGGAGGCAGAGGCAGGTGGGTTTCTGAGTTTGGGCCAGCCTGGTCTATATAGAATTCCAGGCCAGCCAGAGATAGATTGTGACATCTCTGGGCTTAGGGGGATACACACACACACACACACACACACACACACACACACACACACACACACAACTTCCATTTGATCACATGTACTATGTATATCTTATATGTGTAAAATTTTTAACCCAACCCCTTGACAGAAAGGACATCCACCAAGGAGTCATGATTCCTCACTCCCCCTTCTTCATCCTTCATCACAGTGCACTAATTTGAGAATGAGAAAGCAGCTTTGATCTCTAGGAAACATCATTTAAGGAAGCCAATATAATGTTTCTGACCAGTTTTTTTCTATAATAGCAGGGCTATGACTAGAAAAACAATTACCTAGGTAGAGCTAGTATGAAAAGAAAGTAATGGCCAGAAGACACGTCATCAAAATACTCGTCAATTCCTGTTAAGGACAAGGACTGCAGAGGCATAAAGGATATCGCAAACACTGGCTGAGATCTCAATCAAGCCTGCATGGGACCAGGCTCTTCAAACAGAACATTGAGGAATTAACTATGAATGGGGGCGTAAGAAGGGTTGGGGAGATTCAGCAAAATATCACAGAAAATTAAGCAAAGACAGTGCTATACTGAGCCAATTTCCAGTTTTCCTATCAGGAAATACCATCTTTAACAAGTTCGGAAATGTTCTGTCAATCATGTCTTGGTGAATTTCATACTCAACTTACCACTATTTGTTGGGTGGTTGTTGGCTGGAGCCAGGGGTCCCATTTGGTTTCGGATGAGATTGTCTTGGGTGGGTGGAAGGCCAGGAGCTGACCACGGTCCAGAACTGTATCCTGAATGACTCTGTGGCTGGTGGTGCTGCTGTGAAGGTGGAGGTGGAGGTCGTGATGGATAGGTAATAGCTGTGCTTGGGCCAGGGTAGGAATCTTTAAGTGGTGGATAGGTAATAGCTGTGCTTGGGCCAGAGTAGGAATCTTTAACTGGCCTGGCAGTCGGAGCACTCTGTGAGGTAAACATTTGCCCATATGGCTCACTGGCAGGCAGCGAGGGGTAGGAAACATTAGGATACACAACATTGGACACAGTTGAGATCGGATAATGACTACACGTAGAGGGGTATCCCTGAGAAGCAGCAGAAGAGCTGGCAGAATACGGGACAGGACTACTGTAGCGATTCCCGAAAGAGGAGTAGGGTTGGGAGGCACTCGGATACGAATGGGATGCTGATGCTGGAGCTCCTTGGAAAGATCCTGGAGTGGACCCCCCGATGTGAGGGGCAGGAGGACCTCTACCATACATCTGCTGTGCTCCTGGTTGGCTTGCTGAGCTGGGAGTCCCCACATTTTGTGTTGGTACTGTATACGGACGAGAATAGTAACTATCACACTGGTTATCCAATGGCAAGGTCGTCATTTTCCCCGGTCCTTGAGAGTAATGTCCTGAGGGGGCCATATAGTTTTGATGAGGCAACCCATACCCAGAAGGAACTTGCATTTGACTTGGTGCTGGACCTGAAAAAGAAAATCAACCATTTACAGTGCTGCACAAAGAGATGATATGTAAATAGCTCCCATCTAAGGTTGACCAAATTAATTTTCTTCTCCATAACTCCAGCATACTATGAAAGAAACATGTTGTCATAGGCCTATCATGTAGCTCAGCAGTTCTCAACCTGTGGGCTGTGGCCCCTTTGACGAACCTCTATCCCCAAAAATATTTACATTATAATTCATAACAGTAGCAAAATTATAGTCATGAAGTAGCAACAAAAATAATTTTATGGTTGGGGGTCACCACAACATGAGGAAGAGTATTAAAGTGTCCCACCATCAGGAAGGGTGAGAACCACTGATGCAGCTAGACTCCAAGATGATCCCTAATGATCCCCATCCTCCTGCTACGCCAACCCTTGAGCAGTCAGTCCTCCCTTACCGTGTATCAGGACTCATGGCGTAAGCAGTATCTTCAAAGGGGTTGACATACCACTTCCAAGATTAGCCAGCCTTACCTCTATCTACTGCGCTCTCTAATAACGCAGTTTTGAATGACCTTATAACACAGACAAGGCCATATGGTAAGGAATAGACTCTGGACAACAGCCAAAGAGAAACTGAGGCCAATAACCACATGAATAGGCAAGCATCCTTCAGATTCAATGCAGTCTTGAGATGACAGCCCAACCAATAGCCTGACTATATCATCTGTGACAGACCCTGATCCCAAGCCACACAACTGATTGGCTTCCAAGTCAATATTCCTTAAAAAACTATCTTCCAGAGGTCCTGAGTTCAATTCCCAGCAACCACATGGTGGCTCACAACCATCTGTAATGAGATCAGGTGCCCTCTTCTGGCCTGCAGTCATACATGCTGTATACATAATAAATAAATACATCTTTAAAAAAAAAAAACAACAACTATCAAGTAGGGGCAGGAGAGACGGCTCAGCAGTTAACAGCACTGGCTGTTCTTCCTAAGGACCTGGGTTTGATTCAGCACCCACATGGCACCTTCCAACTGTCTGTAACTCCAGTCCCAGGGGACAGAATACCCTCTTCTGGCCTATAACCCCATATCTGAAGGCCATGGCAGGAAGGATAGCTTTGAGTTTGAGGCCAGCCTGATCAGAACAAGTTCCAGGCCAGCCAAGAATACTTATTAAGACCCTGACTTAAAAGGGGGGGGGGGGGGAACGGGAGAAAGGAAGGGGGTTAGTGGACGGGCTGACCAAAACAAATGATGTATGGAAAAAGCCTTATAGAAACCCATGACTTTGTGAGCTAATTTTAAAAATACAAGAAGGAATTTAACTGGACAGTGCTGCTTCCAGAAGACATGGTTTATTAAACAAAATTTTGGTGCCAGGTGTGGGATATCTCCCTAGATGATATTCAACAAGGGGGTCCCAGAGTTCCCCCAAACAACACAGGCTCCCAATGCTCTTGGTTGCCCACTACAACTAAATGGTAAGACCCTACTGCAAAAGACACAGCACACTCTGGTTGCAGGACACAGAGAAATCCGTCAGGACTACCCAGCCAACTTCTTGCTGGCTAGCTTTCCCATTGCCAGAGGTGCTAGGCCAGCTGCTGGAGGAGAAGGGCCACGAGTGAGCTTAGCCAGTGCTGGACTGCACGCTGCAGTACAAACCTTCCGAGCAAGATGTACACACAGGAAATCCTGCTATGATGCTTTCAGGGTAACTAACCACCTCCTGATCTGATTTGATCTTGCTCTCTCTGAGGGAACTTCTGCCTGGTACTGTAAACTTGGTCAGAAGCCCAAGGCTGGGCAAGGCATTGGCCTTAGGAGAACATCTACTTTTATTGGTGTTGTTTTGTTTTCTTTTTTTGAGACAGCATCCCACTATGTAGCCATGGCTGCTCTGAAACTACAGTAGAGCAGGCTGGCTTGGAACTCACAGGGTCTCACTATACAGTCTTAGCTGGCCTGGTGGGAACTCATTATGTAGATGAAGCTATTCTAGACTGGAACTCCTTGACCCATCTCTGAGATGAAGCATACGCCACCATGCTCAGGCTACTACTGTTTGGCTAAATGGTCCTGTCGATTAGATTATACTCAGATTAGAACTACTCTCAACCTTGATCTGAGAAGATTCTTCTGGAATTTCAGCATTAATATCAGCTGGTCATATCTCGTCATTGTACAAAGAATGAGTGACTACTGAGTGATCAACCCTAAACAGCACATTTACCTTATCTCACCCTTCCCAAGGCTCAGAGAACATTCTGGAAGAGTAAGAGTAGACAGAATTATAAGAAGGGGCTGAAGAGATGGCTCAGAGGTTAAGAGCACTGACTGCTCTTCAAGAGGACCTCACAACTGTAACTCCATTTCCAGGGGATCCAAAGTCCTTTTTTTTGGCCTCGGTGGGCAAGAGACATGCAAGTGGTACACAGATATAGATGCAGGCAAAACACCCATACACACACACACATACACACACACACACACACACAAAGATAGACACATTTTTTTAAAAAATGTAAGAGGTAAAGGATGGGGAAGAAAGCTATGAAATGCTGTCTTCTGACCATGAGCTAGCCTGTGGCACTCATGACCTCATAGCAGCTGGGGTTCTCTGCACAAAATCAAGCTGGTCAACATTCCAGCATGGGTGGGTGAGGGGTCCAGGACTATTGCCGGCTCCAGGGGAAGGAGAGTAAAGGTTCTTCTGGTGTGGAGACCTGTACGCTGTCCATGCTGTGGTGACGGTCTCACCACCCATCAGCACCTGGGCAGCATTCACGGGACTCAATGAGTAACGAAAACAGTGGAGATGAAGGGACACGTGCGGGTACAGGAGTAGAGGAAGGAGGAGGGGGTAGATATGAACAATATACATTCACGACACTGTCAAAGAATACATTTTTTAGTGTTTAAAATGACCAAGAGCAGAGTCTACACCTTTTGGTACTAGTTTCTTCTCTGCCCAGGATCAAGGTCTACTCAAGTGGTAAAGCACATGCTTAGGATGCACAAGGCCTTTGTTCAGTCCCAGTACTGTGGTAGAGGGTAGTGTTAACAATTTATATAAGGAAGTATAAAGTACAAATCCCCTTCTTACTCTGGGAACAGACACAGCTGGAGCCAGGGGAAGTTTCCTGTGTATTCTTTGGATGACTGAACCACAGCATGGCTCTACAACTATTTTTTAGAAGATTTCTTTTTTTTCCCCCCCTTTTTCCCAGAGCTGAGGATCAAACCCAGGGCCTTCCTTGTGCTTGCTAGGCAAGCGCTCTACCACTGAGCTAAATCCCCAACCCTTTCCAACTATTTTTTAATTTAATGTATCCTAGACATCCTTCTATTAAAAAGTGTAAATCCTTAATGTAAAAAGCACATGGAGTACTTCATTACAGGTGACTTACTAAATCCTCATCAACGAACATCATTTAAAAGGATGAACTTCTATGATCAATTAAGAGGATGGGTTCCCTACAAATGAAAGTGGGGGGTTGTACTTTAAAAATTGTCTACTGTGCTAAGCATTGGGAACTTGCCTGTAGTCCTGGTACTAGGGGCCTGAGAAAAGATTATGAGTTCAAGGACTGTTGTCTTAGAGTTTCTATTACTGTGAAGAGGCCCTATGACTATGGCAACTCTTTCATAAAGGAAAATATTGAATTGTGGTGGCTGGCTTACAGTTCAAAGGTTCAGTCCATTATCATCATGGCTGGGAGCATGGCAGCATGCAGGCAGACATGGTGCCGGAGCTGAGAATCCTACATCTTACAGGCAACAGGAAGTGAACTGTGATACTGGGAGTCGCTTGAGCACAGGAGACCTCAAAGCCCGCTCCCACAGTAACATACTTCCTCCAACAAGGCCACACCCACTCCAACAAAGCCACATCTCCCAATAGTGTCACTCCCTTTAGGGGCCATTTTCTTTCAAACCACCACACCAGCGTAGACTATGTAGCAAGAGACTATCTCAGAAAAAACAAGCAAACAAAAAAGACTGCTACAGCTCTCTCCAAAAAGGACTGCCAATTCATACTTTCCATCAATAATGTTAAAGAATGCCTCATCTTTCCAACGCTAACATTTTACTCTTTACCAGCAAGTGAAGTATTCTAGAAGCATTTTAATTTTTTAAATAAAAAAGTTAGATTTACTTATTTTATGTGTACAAATGTTCTGATTGTGTGTATGTACAGGTATCATGTGTGTGCCTGGTGCCCTCTGAGGTCAGAAGGCGCTGACTCTCCTGGAACTGGAGTTATGGATGACTGTGAGCCACGATGTACGTGCTGGGAACTGAACCCTGGTCCTGTAAGAACAAATGCCATTAACCACTGAGCCACCTCTCTGGCCGTTTTTGTCTTTCTTGATACTGCAACTGAACTGAAGGCCTCTAGGTACCTGGCAAGTATGCTGCCCCTGAGCTAACAGGAACTTGAACTTCCTTTGTAGCCTAGGTAGGCCACAAGCCTGTGATCCTCCTGCCTCAGTCTTCCAGGTAGGTGAATTACAGGTCTGTACCACAGGCCCAGTTGCTAAGATGACTCCATTTGCCAGCCTATCTTCTGTGCCTCATTTAACTTACTTATAAGGTGGATATAATACTTTGTCTTCAATTTATATATTAGAAGGTACTAATATGTAAAGCATTTAGAAAAGTGAATGACTTGGGATAGAGCATGTTTAAGAATGTTTATAATGTTGCTGGTAACAAAATCAATGTCAGCATTAGTGTGGCCAGTTGTATAAATATAAAAGTTAGGAGCATTGGCTACTCTTGCAGTGGACCCAGGTTCAATTCCCAGCACCCATATGGTGGCTCACAGCCAGTTATCTGTAATTACATTTCCAGGAAATCTTTCTGGCCTCCATAGGTACCAGGTATGCATATGGCACACATAAATACAAACAGGAAAAATACCCATGCACATAAAATAGAAATACATTAAGGTTTTAAAAAAAATCTCTATGCGCTTAGGCAGTGACAGGGCTCTCATTGAATCAAGGACCCGTATGTGGAAG